GGTCATCTGGAGTGAGAAGTGTTCTAGGTACGACGACGACGGCGTGTTCTCCGAGCTCCTCAAGGCCATCGCTATCGTGACGCAGTGCAGTCTTCACCAGGAGAGCGGGCGCCCAGACGCGCAGTTGGTGAGGAAGGCTCGCAGAATCATTCTCGAGACCATTCGCCAGGCCTGGGGTAACAATCCTGCAGCAGAGCTCGCACGGATCATGGTCAGCTACGTCGTACCCAAGCTAGTCATGGAGGTCTCCAGGCTTCACGTTGCACAGAATGTGGAAGACGACGCCGCGACGGCTACCATGCGGCATTCAGTGGATCACTTCGAACACATGTTTTCAGATGCGTTCGACAACATCAGCCTTTGGCGAGATAAGTTGGTTGCGAGCTCAGAGGGGAAGCTCACCCTTGTAACTGCTTCGATTGAGCAGCTGGGATTGCTTTTCACGGGCCTGACTGGCCCATTCCAGCGATGGTCTACTGCAGCAGTGCACCAGAACGTTTCCATGGTCATCGAGTCTTTGCAGAACTCCGAGGAGATCTTGAAGATTGGGAAATACCTCATGGTCCATGTATTCTTCCATGTTTGCGGCAAGGACATCATCGACATGGGCGTGCACTTATCGGACATGCTTCAGAATGCCGAGCAGATCAGGCAGGGTGAGGGGGGCGATGGTTTGCCAGAGAAGCTCAATGAGCAGAACGTCCGCTTGAGCACATTGATCCTAGAGATGACGACCAAGATCCATGACTACCAGAAGGGTTTGAGTGCTTGCGCAGGGCTTATCAAGGACATGCACAATCGCTGGTTCACCATCGCGATGGATGTATTGCGAAGGGCTGGCAGCCTCGCGAAAGATGCGCTCGGTGACGTCAACAGGGTGCCCTTTGAGTCCGACCTAGATCATTCATTGGATCAGTTGGAGAACTGCGCTGAGTACATCACGAAGGTCGCGGAGGTTGCGATGGCTATTGCATCCAAGGAGACACCCGCCAATTTCGAGGGCAACGTCATCGACCTCGCCAAGTTAACCTCTAGATGGCCCACGGAGCCCATCAAGTGGTTTGCCGAGAGCTCCGCAACCGACCCCGTGGTGCTCAGCCAGCTGTCGGAGAAGATGCAGATCTTCACGGATGCCATCGGTGACGCGGGGTGTCAGAGCAGCGCATGTAACGCAGATGGCCCACATTGGTCGGCACGCCCGTTCGTTTACTGGGGGCCGTCTGGGATCCAGGGGGCGGTCCAGGGGGCACGGGTCCTGTGTAGGCCGGGGCACATGAAAGGAAATTATTCGATTTGGCCGTCTCGAAGGGCTGGGGGGTTCGAGGGTTTAGGGTCCAGGATGGAGGGGGAGTATCGAAAGGGTGGGGCCAACCTTTGCAGGCAGTGACATCTACAATCGTGCCACGTGCGACCTCGTCGGGCAGTCCATTGAAAATATCAAGGTGGTTCTCGATTTCGGGGTTGGGGACGTCCACAAGGAGGTGGTCGAGAACGCGAGGGGTTCAGCTGTATTCCAGATGCTCATTCGCGAAGTGAAGGACACCGCTGACCTCGAGCTCGGCATCAACTTCGAAGATGGCGACGCGAAGGACTTGCAGAAGATTGCATGCTGTCCCCACCACAATGCAATGCGAAACTTGAGGCAGTTCGTGGTTGCAAGCTCGTTGGCGCACATCAAGACTGATTGGTGCGTCAACCTCAACTGCGAGTCTGACAAGCAGATGCCTGTTGACGACGCCGTGGTCTACTTCGACATCGCGAACAAGACGAACGACATTGCCAGCGTCATGGCATCACTGCAGCGCTCGCTTTACAGTAACGTTGGCGGTTCCGACGCGGTGAGCCTCGACACTGAGGGGTGCAACAAGGCCGTCTACATGCAGGCAATTCTCAGCAACATGATTGTGCAGCTCGACGGCGTGATCAACTCGCATGGCGCGTTGAAGCTGGAGGCGAACGGGTGGCAGCTCCCTTTCGGTGTCCAGACGTTGCGGTCTTGGCTCGTTCTCGTGGGGATCTTCGCAAGGAAGTGCCGCAACTACATCATCCAGATGATGTGCGAGCATGTGAACACCTTGGCGGATGTGGTGAAGACTACGATTCCATCGTATGGAGCAGCGTTCAAGAACGCGGTCATGGATGTCAAGATGGCGTGCAGTTTCTTCGATAACAAGCTGGGTCCCGTGATCAAGGCTTACAATGACTTGCACGGCGGGCTCGCACGCTTGAGCGTATCGGCCGAGCTCATGCTGCTGACGCCCGCCGTGAGCGAGAACGAGCTGACCAGCCAGACGGTGGCCGTCGGCGTGGAGATGCTGGCCTGGGGGGTGTCAAAGGGGTGGGGCGCAGGATGAGGAGGATAGGAAGAGGGGGGTCGGGAGGAGGAGAGGGAGGAGGAAGGAGGAGCAGGAGAAGGGTAAGGGGGAGAATCGTGAGGAGGAGGAGGAGGAGGAGGAGTGGATGAGGAGTTGGCAGGGGGAGGTGGAGGGAGAGGAGGAGGAGAAGGAGGATCAGAGGAGGAGGGGAGGAGGGGCAGGGAGGAGCAGGTGGAGGAGGATGGATAGGATGTGCTGATTACAATCAGTTCCGACTGGTGCCATCCTGCGCCTCACCATTTTGCCTCGCCCCCCCCCGCCCAGGGCAAGGCTACCCAGGCTTCGGTGCTGATCAGGGGCTCGTTCTTGATCGCAGAGAACTCGAATAAGCCTCAGGGGAGCGCCCTTGCCCGCGAGTTCTTGGAGAAGAACCGCAACCAGAGGACGAGCTGCATTCCAGAATGCTTCTGGCGCGAGCTCGAGGCCATGAAGGACGCCAGCGCGGAGGAGGTTGGTCGCGCCATGAACCAGGACGACTCGAAGACAGGCTCTGCTTCGGGCGGCGGCACCCCGAAGCCCAAGCAGAAGGACACCTTGAGCCAGGTTGGGTCTTGCTCGAAGCTCCCAGCCATGAAGGCCGAGGGTGCTGAGACGTCGGCCGCAGCGCCGAGTGAGCCCGCGCCGCCGCCGACGGGGACGGCGCGTGCCAAGAGCGCAGGCGGTGGCGGCTTGCGCCGCGCGAAGCGCAAGGACTAGGCGCTTGCACGGCTCGCGGTGTAACAGGGGTGGTGGGACGATATGGGATTCGTGCGCGTCGAAAGTTGGTTTCGGAGTTGAGCTTGTGTATGCCCCCCGCACTGGGGCGCTTATCCAAGACAATCCTCAATCCTTCTACTCCTCCTCCACTCCTACTTGCCCTCATCCACTTTCTCCTCCTCCTCCTCCGCATGCCCCCCGCCATCTCCTCCCCCCTTCGCATGGCGACTGGGGGGAGGGGGACAATGGCGAGGGGGAGGTCGAAAATAAGGATGGGGGGTACAAAGACACTTCTTCACGGCGTGGTAGTTTCCCTCGCGATGGTGGCTTCGCGAGCTGGCGCATCAGTCCTCACTCCCTGGCTCGCTCTCTCCATCTCTCCTTCTGTCTGGCCGAGGTTGCTCTCGGCTCTCAGCGGTTGGGACTGCTGCGCAGTCCGCAGGCGGGGCGCGCAACTCCGCTCGCTCGGGGCCGCAGGTGGGTGAAAACAATGCGCCTCCCTCATCGTGCTGCGACCCGCCTCTCTTGGACTCGGGGTCCTTCATGCCCTTGCCGTGCGCAAGTCCTGTCCTACTTCTCCCGTTCTAACTCCCACCATTGCGTTCAGTCTCGCGCTTTGTCGCACCCACTTTACTTCTCCACCGTCTGATGTTTTCCAGGGTATGAGGGGCCACGGCGCGAAGATACTTGCAGCCGTGAGCGAGGGCGCGAAGTTAAACTCAATGAAAATATCAGGGGTGGGGGCGCATATAGGGGGTAGCCGAATCAGAAGAGGGACGAACGATAAAGGTTGATACGGTAGATACTTCAGAAGATACGGTAGATCAGCAATACGAGGGGCACGAGGAGAGGTACATGAGAAACGAGAGCACCAGGAACATTAACGGGCGAATGTAGACGAGGGGCGTAAAGACAAAGTAACAATTATGAGGGCATGGGGGAGGAAACGGGGGGGGCATATGACGAGGAAGCAGAGGATATGAAAGCCTGCGTCGCTGAATCTGTTCGCCAAGTCTGGTTTTGACGGCTAAGTTCGGTCCCGAGGTTTGTCTTGACGGCTTAGGCGTTTTGCCCCCTTGACGCCCCCCCCTGCCTTGACGTTGGGGGGGGGGTATAGACCAGACCCCCACGGCGCGCTCAACCCACAATCACCAAAAAAACTTCAGAAAATCAATGATTTTTGCCTCGGGGGGCCTTCTTGGGAGTGCTCTTGGAGGCCTCTTTGGGGCCGTCCTGGAGGCCTCTTGGGCCATCTTGAGGTCACGTCGGTCACTCTTGGAGCGCTCTTGCGCTGTCGTGGGGGTCTCTGGGACATCTCCGATGACCCCCCTGATCGCCCTAGGTTTGCTGGGAAGGCTGGGCAAAACGCCATGTGAGGCCCGGTGGCCGCTTCGAGGCCCGTCTAGAGGGTCCCAAAGCCCCAGATCCCGGGAGTCCGGTTTTGCGGGGAGGAGGGGTGACTGGTTTTCCCCCTGCCCGGGTTTATAAACATATAGAGGAATATGTATGTGTGTGTGTGTGTGCGTGATACGTGCTCACAGACAAAAAGAGAATGATCAAGACAGAGAGGCGTAAACAGAGAGAGAGAGAGAGAAATCAAGAAAGAGAGAGAGAGAGAGAGACACAGACAGACAGACAGACAGACAGACAGACAGACAGAAAGACAGAAAGACAGACACACAGACAGGAAGGCAGGCAGACAGAGACAGACAGACAAACAGACAGACACAGGCGTTTGGCCCATCCTGCCACCGCGGCTGGCTCTTAGAGGCCTCCTTGGAGTCTCTTCGGCAGGCCCTCCGGGAGTCTCTTGGAGGCCTCTTGGGGGCCTCCAAGAGACTCGACCCTTCTTGGAGGCCTCTTGGAGTCTCTTGGAGGCCTCTTGGGGGCCTCCTGGCTGTCCTCGACCCTTCCCCCCCCCACGAGCAGGCTGCTGGCCACCTCGCGCGGCACGCCCTTCATCTACCGCGCCTCCTGGCGCCCGGGGCCCGCCCCCGGCCCGGCAACGGTGGCCCCAGACGTCGTCGCCGTCGTCGTCGTCGACCGAGGCTTCTCGTCGTCGTCGTCGTCGTCGTCGTCAAAGTCCGAGTGCGTTTTCGTCGAGCGTGATCCGTAATCCGTTGATTTCCTGTCACGGCCGCCGCCGCCGTCGTCCTCGGTGCCGCTCTCGAGGCTCGAGGCTCGAGGCTCGAGGCTCGAGACTCGACGTGTGGGTGCGATTGTGTTGGTCCTGTTTTTTAGAGTTCAGGTCGCTGCCGCTGCCGCCGTCGTCCTCGGCGTCGCCGTTGAGGATCGCGGCGCGGAGCTCTAAGCTCGAAGTCATCTTGTTCTTGGCCATGTGTGCGTCTTCGTCATCGTCGAGGCTCGAGGCTCGGCGTTCGAAGTCTGAGCTGTTGGCACGTCTTGGCCATTTGTGGGTCTCCCGTCGTCGCCATCGTCGCCGCAGCCCGCTGCCGTCGTTATCGTCGTCGAAGATCGACGGCCAGAGTTATTTGTTGTTCCACGTTTTTCGGCCTCTGGTCGTCGTCGCCGCCGTCGCCGTCCTCTAGAATCGAGGCTATCGGTTCGAAGTCCGAGTTTCATGTTGTCGTGATTCCTAATGTGGAGTTTCCGACGTCCGTGTTATCCCCGGCATATCCTCCCCCTCATTCCTTCCTTCTCCTGCCCCCCCTTCCCCCCCTCGTCGCCTTCCCCTTTCGCACTCCTCATCCTCGGGAGTCCTCCCTCATATCTCCTGTTTCCTCCTCGTACTCCTCTTGCTCACCTGCTTCAGAGCAGGGGGAATGAGTAGAAGCACTAGGAGGGATAATCACAACCAGGAGGCGGAGAAGGATGTCCTTGTCCTTACTTTCTACATACCCACACATCATTATTCCTTCGCCTTCCTTTTCGCTTCTCCTCGCCATCATCATCAGCATCATCATCAGCATCAGTATCAGCAGCAGCAGCAGCAGCAGGACGTCGACTGCGCGTCTAACTGTCAGCTGCCGGCGCGCCGTGTGCCGGACGACGACGCGACAGGAGGGGGAGGGAGGGGCGAACTCATCGCGACGAGACGTCGGCGAGGCGGGCGTTCTTGGCGTGACACTCGCAGCTGCGGGTTGCTATGCTCTGAATCCTGGCGAGGAACGCATCGCGCGCCTGTCTGGCCTGCCATCTGGCAGCCTACTCCTGCGCTTCCTTCTCCTCCGCCGTTCGCGGGGTCGCCTTCTCTGCTTTGCCTTGCATCATTGCCGCCCCCACTTGAACCTCCTCGTCCTCCTCAGGTATCCTCGTTGCCTCGTCCTCATGCTGCCTAGCGACCTCCTTCTCCTCCTCGTCCTTCTCTTTTTCGGCTGCCTGCTCCTCCTCTCTCTCGCGCTGAGCCCGCATGTCCTGGACCAGCAGCGCGGCGATGTGGTCCTTCTGGCTCGGGCAGCGCCCTCGGAGGCGCACTTGACGGACCAATCCCTGTGTCTTTGTCCTAGTTCGTACGGGGGATTCGAGCTGAATCCAGTGAGCCAAGGCGTCGGCGTCGTCAGTTTCGACCGCTCTCTGCACGAGGGCCAGGTCGCGGTGCTCCTCCAACTGCTGTACCTTGTGCTCGTCGTCGTCCCCACCCCCTCCTCATCTTCCTTCTCCTCAGCCTCGCCCTTCTCCGCCCCCCCTCCGTCGTGTTGCCTCCCACCCGCATTCGACCTTGCCCTCCTGGCGCCCTTCGCCAAGGCGCCGCGAGCTGCGGCGGCTGCTTCGGACTGGGACCTCCCTCCACCCCCATCCAGGCGTGGCGCTCCTCCGCAGCTTCGCCCTCCACCACGGCCGCCTCTTCTTCCTCTCCTCCTCCTCCACCTCCCCCTCCTCCTCCTCCTCCTCCACCTCCTCCTCCTCCTCCTCCTCCTCCTTCTCCTCCTCCTCCTCCTGCTCCCCCCTCCTCAGTACCTCCTCGCTGGTGGCGTCCGAAGCCAGTTCGTTCGAGCCATCCTGCGAAGGCGCTCTGCTGGCGCATGGTGCTGTGCGCCCAGTGCAGAGGCTTCTGTGGGGCGCCTCCTCGGCGTCGTTTCTGTCTGTGGCGCCAGCCTCGGAGTCTTCTTCGCGCACTTCATCCTCATCACCCCAGCAGTGCAGCCAGACGTGGCGGGCGTTCGATCAGGCAAATGATGTCCTCCACCTTCTGACCCATCGTCCTGAAGACTTGGTTGTGCATGCAGTGGGTCTTGGCAGAGACGTCGGCGTCCTGGGCGACCTGCTGAGCACCGAAACAGCAGTACGGGCTTGGTCTGGCCCTCCAGCATGATCTCGAGGCCGCAGCTGTGTTTGGTGTCCCAGGGTTTCTCGCCGTAGAGCCATTCCTGGAGGGTTGGCCTTGTTTCGAAGAGCCCTTCGACGATCGCTTTGTCGTCAAAGTCGTCCTCCTCCTGTCTACGCACGCCTGCTTGACCTCCACAGCCTCCACCTCGTCCTCGTAGGCTTTCTCAGTCTCCTCCACCTCGTCCTCGCAGGCTCCTCGGGGTTCAGGGTATCCTCTGCCGTCCTTGCCTTCCTAGGCTCCACTGTTTCCGTGGCCTCCTTTGCCTTCGTCTTTCTTGGCCTCCTCTACTTTTCCAGGGCTCATCTGCTTTTTCCTAAGAGGCCTCCTCTACGTTATTTGCCTCAGCAGCCTCCTTGTCCTCCTCGGTCTCCCTGGCCTCCTTTGCATTCCTGGCCTCCTCCGCTTTCTTAGCCTCGGCGGCTCGGCGGCCTTCCTGGTCTCCCTAGCCTCCTCAGTCTTTTGGGCCTCCCTCCTGTGCCGTCTTGGCCTCCTCTGTCTGTGTAGCCTCCACGGTGTTTCTGGCCTCGTCTGCCTTCCTGGCATTCTGTTTTCCTGGCCCCCAGGTGAACCTTCTGGTGGTCGCTGTACTGGCGGCCGTCGTAGCCCTGGAGGTCGTAGCTCTGGCTATCTGAGGGTGGTGAGACCAGCCGGAGCCAGTCCCGCCCTTCCTCGCCTTGGATGTAGACGCCGCGGAAGCCGTCGTAGCCTTGGCACTTGGCGGTCGTGTTGGCCCCCGTGCTGGGCTGCGTCGCCACACTGGTCGCGAGTCGCCGCAGTTGTCGCTGTGCTGGACATTGTGCTTGCCGTACTGGTCGCAGTGCTGGTCGCCCTACTGGTCGCCGTAATAGTCGCTGTACTGGGGGTCGCCCACCTCCGTATGTAACATCGGCGATCTTCTCGGCGACGTAGTTTCACTTCATTCTCTGGTAGTGCAGCGCCGCGTGCACCGGATGGGCGGGGTCGATCCAGTCGCCCTGCTAGCCGTGCCTCGCACTGTGGCCTGACACTCGCGCCGCGGCGCGCAGTGGCCTGGGTCGAGCAGGACCCGAACGTGTCTCGTAGCCTGTCGTGGTGTGCTGTCGCAGTCGCTGTCGCTATCCGCCGCCGCCCTCTGCCAGGCACGGCGCCGCACGCCACCTGCGGCCTCCAACGGCCGCCCGGCCACCAGCCGCCGCTGCGCGCGGCAGCGACACCGCCAGCCCCGCGTCGGCGGGGGGAGAGATGAAGGGGTATCCTGCCCCTCCCCGCGAGGCCTTTGCAGCTGCGCGGACCGCCTGAGGGCGACCCCCTGGGGTGCGCCGCGAGGCTCGCGGGGTGGAGCGCGGGGGATGGATCCCGCATATGGCAGTCTCCTCCTCCCTCCTCTTCCCTCCTCCTCCTCCTCCTCGTCCTCCTCCTCCTCCTCCTCCTCCTCCTCCTCCTCCTCCTCCTCCTACTTCTCATCCTCGTCCTCCTCCTCCTCCTCCTCGTCCTCCTCCTCCTCCTCCTCCTCCTCGTCCTCCTCCTCCTCCTCCTGCTGGCACATTGCTGGAAGTGCGGGTACAGAAGCAACAGAGGACAGGTCCCGCGCCCGCCGCGTGTGGCCAGCGAAATGCCCAGGCTCCGTCCCTCCCCCCTCTCACCCTCCCCACCCATTCCATCACTCCTCCGTGTACCTCCCCACCTCACCAGAGCCCCGATGTCATGATTTGTTCGCAGCGTCGACCTCTAGAGGTCTCGACCCCGTTTCCGGGGACTGGCCTTCACCCTGACTCGTCACCTAACGGTCCCGAGGCACGGCGAGGGCCTCCCGAACTTCAGAATAGCGAAGACCCCTTCGCCGCACTGCTTCACGCCGCGGGGGGGTTTGGGTTCCGACCTCCTCCCCTGGCCCTCCGTGCCCCCTTGCCACCCCCAGAAGGTGGCCCTGGGCGTGGCCCACTCCAGCCTCGGCACGCCGTCGGTGCTCGTGGCCCGCCTCCGCGTGGTCGTCGGGCCTGCCGCGGGCGAGGGCGGCGACGCGGAGGCCGCGCCTCCGCGCTGCCCTCGGGCGTTTCGAGTTGCCTGCTTGCTCTGGGGGGTTCGTAGACTTGGCATCGCTCGGGCGTGTGTTTTTTTTTTTCTCGGCGAGGGCCATCCAGGAGCATCTTGGATCATCTTGGGGAGAAGATACCTCCTGGCGAAGGACCCAACTATATGCAATTGTGAGTAACGCATTTGCTGGTATCGTCTTCGGTGGAGCTCCTTATGGGACACGAAACGTGTGAGGGGTGTGCCAACATGGGCGCGGTGGTGTCACGCGAACGCAGCCACTGGGCCTTCGGTGGAGCTCCTTGTGGGGCCACGAAACGTGTGAGGGGTGTGCCGAAATGGGCGCGGTGGCGCCATTCGGGCGCAGCCACTGGGGCATTCGGTGGAGATCCTTGTAGGGCCACGAAACGTGCGACGGGTGTGCCGAAATGGGCGCGGTGGTGTCATGCGAGCGCAGCCACTGGGGCATTCGGTGGGGTCACAAAGCGTGTGTGAGGGGCGTGCCGACATGGGTGCGGTGGTGTCATGCGGGCGCAGCCACTGGGGCCTTCGGTGGAGCTCCTTATGGGGCCACGAAGCGTGTGAGTGGTGTGTCGAAATGGGCGCGACGCTGTCATGCGAACGCATCCAATCGGGCTTTCGGTGGAGCCCCATATGAGGCCACGAAACGTGTGAGGCGTGTGCCGAAATTTGCGCGGCGGTGTCATGCGAACGCAGCCATTGGGGCCTTCGATGGAGCTCCCCATGGGGCCACGAAACGTGTGAGTGGCGTGATGACATGGGTGTTGTGGTGTGATGCGAGCGCAGCCAGTGGCACCTTTGGTGGAGCTCCCTTTGGGGCCACGGGATGGGCGCGGTGGTGTCATGCGAGCGCAGCCGGTGGCGCTTTCGGTGGAGCTCCCTATGGGACAACGAGACATGTGAGGTGTGCCGAAGTTGGCGCGGCGGTGTCATGCGACCGCAGCCACTAGGGCCTGCGGTGGAGCTCCTTGTGGGGCCGCGAAACGTGTGAGGGGTGTGCCGAAATGGGCGCGACGCTGTCATGCGAACGCAGCCAGTGGGGCATTCGGCGGAGCTTGTGGGGTCACGAGACGTGTGTGCGGGGCGGGCTGACATGGGTGCGGTGGTGTCATGCGAGCGCAGCCACTGGTGCCTTCGGTGGAGTTTCTTCTGGTGTTTCGGGATGGATGTGGTGGTGTCATGCGGGCGCAGCCATTGGGGCCTTTGATGGAGTTTCCTACGGGGACGCGAAGCGTGTGAGGGGCGTGCCGAAACAGAAACATGCGGAGGGCAGAGGCGAAGAGGGGGAGGAGCGAGGAGGGAGAGGAGCGCGGAAGGTGACGCGGGGCGCTGTCTCTTCAAAACTAGGACCAAACACCACAGGATTGTGGGGAAAAGCACGCGCGAAACCGAAACATGCACGGGGGAGGTTATCCCAAGGTGGGGTCCGAGGGACGAACCCAGCTGGATGCCCACACTTCCCTCTTGCAGGGGGCGGTTGGAGCGATTGTAATCTGACCCCACCTCTGCTCCTGCCCCCCCCCTTTCCGTTCCTACGGCTGCTTACGAGTCGTGCAGTCGGACCGAAGCATAAGATCAGGGTCGGTTCGGAAAGGGTACAGTGTACAGTGATGTTCTTCGTGCTTGCTGGATGTTCTAGTGCATCCTGGGTGGGGGGTTACCCTCGAACACACTTCAGCTTGGCCGCCGGAAGGTCTCATGTTCTTGACAGATGTTTTCTCCGTCCTAGGTCCGGCTGTACACCGGGCGGTGCGTGGTCAGACAGAACGCGCACAGTAGTAGACATGGCATTCAGAAAAGCACAGTGCGAGAATGCGATGGCGCAGCGTGCGCTTCCAGTCCGACTCTGGCTGAGTTGCGTCGACAGTGCCAAAAATTACCACAGTTTGCTTCAACATCGTCGGGGCGTTTCAAAGGTGTGGCAAACGGGGGGGAGGTTCAAGATAAGGAGCCCTAAAGGCCTCCCCCTCGGGCCCCAGAGGTGCACGAAAGGCGGCCTTATTCTTCGCACACCCCTCTTCCTTGCCCCCCCTCCATGAAGAAACGCCCGACGTCCGACGACGTCGGCGAAGACGACGACCTGGATGGACCACCAGATCCCCGATGCTCTGGCGTTGAGGAAGCGCTGGGAAGCGGGGGAAGCGAGAATGCCTAAATCCTTCAAAAACCATCGGAAAATTAGTGAATCTTGCCTCCCAGGGCCCTCTTGGGGAGCCTCTTGAGCCCGTCCTGGAGCGTAATGGAGTCCTCGTCGGCCGTCTTGAGGGCATCTTGGGCGTCTTCGGGGCCTCTTGGGACCGTCCAGGAATTCCGGGGGGGCTGGAGCCCCGTCAGGATAAGGCATACCCAAGGGGGCGGCGGGCTTGGGGGTGAGAGGTGAAATTGGAAGCCCCGCCACCAATTCTGATACCGGCTTGCGTTTGTGCAAGGAAGGCAGAAAGTTGCACGTGTTTCTCGACCACGTGAGCACATGTTGAGCTCGGAGCGTCGAAGGGGGGGGCAGGGAACCCGAGGGACAGGACAAAGTGAGGAGGGGCGAAGAGAGGAGGGGGAGGACAAGCTAGGAGCACAAGCGTCACATCTGACGTCCTACCCCTCCGTCCCATCCCTTACCATTTCGTAGATCTCTTCTTTATTCGCATAGTCGGATGTCGAACAGTGCATTGATCCCAAGAGATAGAGAGAGAGAGCACGCGATGCACAGTGTAGCACGATATAGCACGGCATCGCGTCGAGAACGCGACTCATTTCGACAACAAGGTCAGAGAAGGAGGCCATAGGGGAGAGTGACCCAGAGATTCGAGGAGCGAGGATGGACCCACAGACAAGCGGCAGCTTCCCGCTTGGTGGGCAGACTCGTGCCAGAGTCCAATTATATTATATAGAGTCGTGCTGCCACGTTCCGGGTACTCTCGCCCCTCGATTCCTGAGGGCTCTGCGTCGCCTCCTGCCCCGTGCGGGCAACCCTGGCAGGACCTCCGCTCCGTGGGCCCGCCCTGGCTCCCCGCTCCGCTGCCGACCGCCCCCTGCCCACGGAGCCGCCGCCGCAGGCCCGCCGCCCCGAGGCTGCGCCGGAGCCGCGGGCCGGCTCGGAGCTGTGAGCGCCGCGCGCGCGCGCGCGGCGCGCGGCGGGGAAAGGCGCGCGAGGCGAGGGGCGCCCCTTCGAGGAGGGAGGCGGGAGGAGGCCAACGGGCTTAGGGGAACAAGAAGTGATATAAACATAACAATTCGGAGGTCCGCGCGGATTTCTCGGATCGGCGCTGGACTCCCCTCCCTAGCGCGCGGAGCGCGCCAGGGGTGGCGCCGGAGGCGCCGCCGGCGGGCCCCAGCGCCGATCTGAGAAATCCGCGCGGACCTCCGAGTTGTTATGTTTGTGTCAGTTTTTGTTCCCCTAGGGCTGCCCAAAGCCGAGCACTATCTCCCCATCGAGTGGGCGGGGCGGCGCACGAAGAGGGCCCATTGTGAGAGGAGAGGAGACACTGATTCTTGGAAGGAGGTGGGAACCTGGGCTGGTGCTCTAGCGGCTTTTCGCACCAGAGGATGGTGGGAGAGACCGGATGCTTTACAGGGGGGGCTAAGGATCAAACTCGCCTCCGCAGGCGAGGCAGGTGCGATGATGATAGAAGATCGTAAAAGACAAGGGGGAACATAAGACAGAGACTGCAGAACATCAAACAAGTCGCACCGGCCAACAAACATGGGGACCATCATTTAGAAGGGGATCCGCAAAGGTAACTCGAGAAGCGCCGCTTACCTCGGGTTCGCGAACTAGGGAGGAAGGGGAGGTAATGAAAAGAGAGAAAGGAGAACCCGTGGCATCCTCAAGGGGTGCGTGCACCGAGCAGCCAGCCTGAAAGCGCACACGAATAGGTTGTTGGGGGTTTAAGATGACCTTCCCCTCCGTGAAGTCCAGGAGACGTATGGGAAGACAAGCTGAGGAACAGAATTGCAATGGCCCGTAAAGCGAGCATCATTCATTGAATGCTAGTGCTCAGCGCTAGATGTCAAATAACCCCCTACACCTTGTCATTGAGGGGGGAAAGAAGAAAATTCACCAAAAGCGCTTCTAGCGTTGACGGTAAGTGGGGAGATTAAGCACCCGCCCTGAAAGCGTCGTTGAAAGCCCCATGCTGCGAGGTCATGATAGATCCTTTGTCGGAGTCAAGAATTGCAGCGGCTGGGCAGGGTGATAATGGCGAATGGGAGGTGAGAGATCACCACTTGCATGAGTGCGAAGGGAGGGCAAGACAGGCGAGTCATACGGCCAGCAATTCATGAGGCCGCGTTGTATCTACCACGCGCTTGCCAGCAGGAGGAAGACCCTTGTTGGCATCTTTAGTGGGACCCTCCGGGTTACGAACAGATGGCCCCACGAGTTGAGGGATGTCTGAAGTGGCGACCGGGGACCAAATCCACACCTCCTTGTCAGGCCCCGAGGACTTGAGTTTCAGAGCTAAGGGGCAATCGCCCCCCCGTTGGGAAGCTTCCACGGGAACGTCTGGGAAGTAGGGCGCCATTTGGAGCAAGTGCGGGAGGCGTGGACATACGTCCGCCCCTGTACCTCACCTTCTCCGAAAGAGTCCTGCATGGACCACGGAGGAAGACATCATGCCCTGACGGGAAGAAGAGAGGACCATGGCTCGATCAATCGGATGCGATCGAAGAGGAGGGCCATGAAAGAATCGATGGTGTTCAGAGGAGAGGTTGTACGTACAGGAGCCCCCAAAGCTGAGCATTGAAATGGCTATGTGCCGAGACGAAGGGAGGTTGGGAGGTCAGGGATGTCAAACAACTTGCATGCGCGGAGGGCCTCGACAACCTTCAGAGGACCTTGTGGAGGACGAGAAAGTTATCCCAACTCGCTGAAGAGAGCCTTCCTTCTGAGTCAACACCCATGCTACAGCGTAACTGATCCATCATAGGATGCGAGAAGAGGCGACAACTCATGCATACGGCAGCAACCCAAATTGGGGGTAGCGGGAGCAAGGCGGAGAAGCAACATGTATGTATTTGAGGCGTCTGCCCTGAAACAGTCACACTGCAGTTGGTGAACAGCTAATCGTCTAAGGCAAGATTGTGGAATGTCAGCCACCTCACTTCACCGTTACGCGCCCAACCTTCGGAATACATCGATTAGAATTTGAGGCCAGCACGAGCTGGAGCCATTTTGCTACCTTCCCCTGGTGGGCAGCATTATCCGAGGACGTCGACCCAAGGGAGGCTTTATTAAAGCTCTATTGCCTCGGCTGAGGAGGAGGCGAAGGAGCAGAAAAGGTGGCTGAGAGGATGACCACCGTATCCGCCTTAGGCGGATGGCCATTTCTGTGCTAGCCCTTGGTCGCCTGCTTCAGATTGTGCCCTCGCCCTAAGGTGGCCGCCGCAGCCGCAACCTTTGCTTGCGAGGGTCAACCCATGTTTAGACGTAAGGCGTACCTGCTTGGCCGCATTCTTGCGAAAGACACTGGGGAACCCTCTTGGCGGGAACTACTTCCTCGCCAGCGGCTGGGACGGGCGAGGATTCTCGAGGACTGAGCGGCTGAGCGTTGCGCGTCCCAACCACTGTCTCCTCCAAAAGAGGCAGTGAGAGGAGCTCGACGAGACCTTGAGGTCCCTGAGCCTGGCCTTTTTCGCAGCAGAAGTGCGCTTGGTCCAGTCCCGCGACAGGTGCGAGGAGCGCAGAGGATTACCTTCTGGGGAGCCAGCAGTAATCTTAGGCCCTGGCTGGGGCTTGGGCATCTGATGCGTCAGCCGCCCAGGGGTCAAAACGGTCACCGAAGGTGGTAGTTCGATTGGGTGACGAACTGTTTCAGGGACGATTGAAGATGTGTGCTGATGGGACGCCCTTACAAATTCTTGACGATTCGCTTCTCCACACCAGCCAATCCAGAAGCAGATCGCCAGGCGAGTTGGAAGTGTAGAAGAGTGCAGTGTAGCAACCGCCTTGGAAGTTTTTTCTCAGAGATTTCTTGACACCATTTTGTGGCTTTCTTGGGGTCCTCGCGGAGCCTCTTGAGGGCACGCTTGAGGCCCTCTTGGGGCTCATTTGGGGCCTTGGTTGGGCCCTCTTGGGGCTCGTTGGGGAGGTCTGGGAGGCCTCTTGGGCCATCTTGGCCCCCATGGGGGCCCGTTTGGGGCGAACTTGGGTGCTCTTGGGACCGTCTTGGTGCCATTTTGGGCCCCTCTTGGGGCTCTATTGGGCCGTCTTGGCCTACCGGAAGCGAGGAGGCGAGAAAGCAAAACGCACAATGTTTCCCCAGGTGTTTGAAGGGTTTTGACATCTTGAAGGGTCTTTGGATGGCTCGGAGGGCTCTTGGAACCGTCCTGGGGCGTCTTGGAGGTATGCCGGGGGTTATCTTGAGCCGTGTTTAAGCATCTCGGGCAGTCTTGGAGGCCATCTTGGGCTCTCGGAGGCCCTCTTGGAGCAAATTGGGACAGAATCGGACCCTCACACACCTCGCGGGGGAAGGAGGAGAAGGAGGAGGAGAAGGAGAAGGAGGAGGATGGAGGAGGAGGAGGAGGAGGAGGAGGAGGAGGAGGAGGAGGAGGAGGAGGATGGCCAGGGAGGAGAAGGAGGGTTTCGGTCGGTCTGCGCTCCATCTTGCTGCAGTCTCTTACCCCGAGAGAATGTTTGGACCGCCACCCTACCCAGCGAAGGAAGGCCCAACGCGGCCCACCGCCAAGCCCTGAGTTCCAGGCGGCCCAACGCACATAAACGAGAGGGTGGCGGCAGGCGCGAAACGCTAGAAACGACTATGTAATCAGCCTGGGGAGAATGTGTGCAGAGAGCCCCTTCGAGGAGGGAGGATGGAGACAGAGGAGGGAGGAAGGAGGGAGGGACGGGGGACGAGGGACGAGGGACGAGGGACGAGGGACGAGGAGGAGGAGGAGGAGGAGGAGGAGGACGATGAGGCGGAGGTGCAGGAGAGGAGGAGGATGAGAAGGAGGAGGAGGAGGAGGAGGAGGAGGAGGAGGAGGAGGAGGAGGAGGGGAGGGTAGGGAGGAGGATGGGAAGAGGATGGCAAGGGAGAGGGGGAAGGATGAGGGTGGCCAGAGAGGAGGGGGAGGAGCGGGAGAACGGGGGGAGGAGGGGGAGGGAGAAAAGGAGGGGAGGGAGGCGAATGGGCGAGGAGTTGGACGAAGGGGAGGAGGAGGAAGAGGAGGAGGAGGAGGAGGAGCAGGAGGAGGAGGAGGAGGAGGAGGAGGACCAGTGCAAACCCAAGACTCATCAACGATGATGAAGTACACTCTCCCTCCAATATCCCCCATTCATTGGCCCCTACAATGGGTCATTTCCTCTGAGGGACTTGCCCCGTTGGGGGGCAGCCGTGTGATCATCCTGAAGCGTGCTAAAACATCACCGTCAGGACTTCAAAGCAACGACTTAACCTGACTGCTACGTCCTGGCGATCCTGAGTCTTGCCAGAACACAATTCCTGGGATTCCAACACCTCGAATCAAAACAACTGTTGCGCCCTGACACTCCTGCATCGTTCCAAAATTGTCCAGCGCCGATCCAAGAAATCCGCGCGGGCCTTCGAATGTTTACAGGCATGCCGGTAGCGTTATCTTCGTCTGCTTTCACCACCGCGTCGCGGCACTTTCCTCCCGCACTCGACTTTTCAGCCCCCACTTCCCGATCGGGCGTCGGCCGCACTCGTCGTGGAGCACGGGCGGCGCGCGCAGTCGGCTGGAGAGGCGCAGTTCTGAGGGTGGGCATCACGAACAGCTCGTGGCAGAGGAGAGGCACGGGGATGCGGAGGCAGACGAGAATGAGAGGGAAGAGATCTTGCCCTGTCATCCGTGCAGCTTTGTGCTTTCAATCGTGATGGGATCAAGCGGCCAACACAGCGAGCGTTCATGCATGATCCCGGTTTCTCCTCCTCATCCTTCTGGTCTCCTCTCTCTCTCTCTCTCTCCCCGTCGTCCTCCTCATCCCCCTTCCCCATCCTCCTCCCCCATCTCCCTCTACATTGTCGCCCTCCACCTTGTCTGCTCCCCCCTCTACAGTTACGCATTCTGGATACTGATACCCCCTCTCGGTCTGGATTTGATTCGGCCATCTCCGCGCAGTGTTTCTACACCGGATTTGGAAAGTTTGCTGTTCTCATGGTTACGATCCGGTTGTTTTCGGCGGTTCAATTTGGCGTTTCTGCTGCGGGCCTCATCTTCGGATCGGCTCTTTGCTCCCGTCGTTCAGAGTGGCGCTCTCGCCTCAGCGCGGGCCACATTTCGGGATCCGAGTTTTTTTTCACATGGTCCTTCTGCTCCTCCCGCCACTTCCAGTCCAGCTTCTGCTGCTGCTGATGTTCGTCCTCGTCCTCGTCCTTGTCATTCTTCCTCCCTTTACTTCTGCCCATTCCCCTGATCATCCGCCACATCCTCCTCCAATGTACCCAGCTCCTTTTTTTCCGACTGCGCATAAAACAGTGGTTCTCTGTGGCTTTTTGGAGTTCCAGGTCCGCCATGACACGCGGAAAAAAACGGCGCAATGGGAAGGGCGGGGTGGAAGGGGTCGGATGTCAGAGATGGCGCTAGCACACCTAGCTTGTTCTCCCCCCCTCCCTCTTCACCCTCCGCATCCCCTCCTCCGTCTCCTGGTCCAGCTTCTCCGGTACCTCTCCCCCCTCCTCCTGACTTTACCCGTTTCGTTGCCTCCTCCTCTCTCCTCCTCATCGTCATCCTCATCATCCTCCGCCGTCGCAGCGTACTGGCCCTCGTCATCCTTCCCCCGCCCTCTCCCTCCTCATTCTCCCCTTTCCTCCTCTTCTCCTGCTGCTTTTCCTGTCCCTCCTTTTCCTCCTCCGCCGTCAGCGACGACCACCACTGCGACAGCGAGCGACGACGACCTCGACCACGACCACGACATCGACGAAGACCACTGCGACGGCGGCGACGACCATGACGACGACGACGACGACCACTGCGACGACGACGACGACGACCACGACAACGACCACGACAACCACGGACAAGACGACGACGACGACGACGACGACGACGACGACGACGACGACGACGACGACGACGACGACGACGACGACGACGACGACGACGACGACGACGACGACGACGGCGCGCAGCAGGCGCAGCTGCTGCAGAGCTCGGCCCTGGAGATTGCCCTCGGGGCGATGCAGCGGAGGGGGGCCCGCCGCGGCCGGCAGCCGCGCCGCCACCTGCGACTCGCGAGGGAGCTGGCTGCAAGTAAGGAGGGGCGTAGGCTGAGGAGTGTGCCCGGAAGGCTCCGGACCTCGGACGGTTCCTTCCCGGACGAGGGCGGCGGTGGCATCCGTGGCCAAGCCCCAGTTGGCGTTCCACCGGCATCCAGACCGTGTATTCCTCATCGAAGAGTTCCTTGTCCAATGCCCTCGCCCTACATGTACACGTCGTGCATGTGCACGACACGCGCGCCCTGTGCGCGCTGGAAGAGTTGTTGAAACATGCCCTCGCCGTAACACAGAGCTGAACTTCGACAGAAGTGGCCGTGGGCTTGCTCGTCGGCTCTCTCTGCGCCAGCGTTCCGTCGGCTCCCGCGGGGGCCTCCTGCCTCGCGGTGCGGTCCAGCGGCGCCGCGCCGAGCGCGCTCCCGGGGTGCCCGAGTCGCCCCGAAGGCCGCCGGGGACCGGAGCTCTGGCCCACAGGCCGAGTGCCTCGGGCGGTCACTACTGGGGGGGCGATAGATGGGGGGGTAAGAAAGCTAGACCTTTCGTGCACCTTTCGTACCCCTTCGGGGCCCCGGGGGTCTCGTTTAGGGCCCCTTTCGGGCCCCATTTCGTGCAACCCTCGGCAACCTCCCCATTTATCGCCCCCCATCACCGAACGCCCAAGTGGCCTGTCGCAGGGCTGACCTCCGTCTCCTGGTGCTCGGCGTTCGGGGGGGCGGCGGGAGGGGAGGCACACCCAAGCGCGCAGGCCGCTGCTATCGCATCTCGTAGAAAGCATCGGCAAGCGGCGCATGAGATCATGGGCCTGTTTTCCATTACCGCCACCATAAGTCGGAGGGGGGAAGGAGGTGTAGGAGGAGGAGGAGGAGGAGGAGGAGGAGGAGGAGGAGGAGGAGGAGGAGGACCCCCTCCCCCTCCAACTCACGGTGGTGGTGGTGGTGGTGGAAAACAGGCCCACCATCAGAGGTCACCCTCGCGCCCCGGGCCACGCTGCGCGAACGAATGGGGGAGGTGTCGTTCCGAGGCGAGCGACCGCGGGGAGGGAGCCTCGGATACTGGGGGGGGGGCCATCTCAGGGACAGGCGCTGCACGGCGCATCGGCCGCGGCGCTGCCAGGAGAGCCGGCGGCTCCGGGCCGCGTGGTGCGAGAGGCACCCCAAGACCAGCCCGAGCCCCGGGGAGGCCCGAGCAGGGGCCCCAGAGGGGGCCAGGAGGGCCAGGGACAGGGAGCCGCCCCGGGAGGACCACCGCCGCCCGTCTGAAGTCGTTCGGGGCCCCCCCCCCCCCCCCCGACGCCCTCGTCTGAGGGCCTCGGAGCCGTCCTCGAGCGAGACGCCATCGAGGATGCAGAAGCCCTGCCCTCCCCAGCCTTCTTCTTGGCTTCCTGCGCGAGCCAGCGCTTGAAGCTCTCTGGCTGCTTCTGCCCCCGCGCTGCCCTGGCCCTCGAAGAAGCCGCCCAATATGACCTGGTTCAATTGATTAATGTCCAACATCTCGGAGGCACCGTCGGAGTTCGCGTCGGTCTCCTCCTGGAGCTCAGCCTCTTGTGCGAGGCCTTGTCCAGAGAGTTCGGCCCCTGGTCCTTCTGCGCCTTGCACATCTCCCCCCTCTGATTGTCCTTCTTCCCCATGTTCGCAGGCTTCGGGCTGAGAGCGACGTCGCCGATGAAGAAGCGCTCAGGCCCAGCACTCCCATCTCCATCTGCGGCGAAGGCGTACCCGACCACCATCGCCTTGTATCCAGGAAGATCGATCAAGCCATCCTCGCAGGAGTCCACTTCGTGGATCATGTCCTGCAGCTCGGCGATGGTGGGCACGAAGCCGAGCTGGTGCAGGACTGTGACCATCTCCTCGGACGTGATCAAGCCGTCCTCGTCCTCGTCGGCAAGGAAAAACGCCTCAACCACAGCTAGCGAATCATCTGCACCACCACCAGCCGCGTCTGCATCCGCGTGCTGCCCGACAGCACGTGCGGGACCAGCAGCTCTGGGTAGAGCACCGCCTCCAACGGCACCTTCAACAATATCAGGGAAACGACCAGAGTGGACACCCTTCACGTCGTCGTTCTTGTCATGGCAAAGGCCGGTTGGTTCCCCACGTGAGACTCAGATTCGCCCTTGTGGAAGCCCACCGACTCTACTTGGACCATGTGTTCCGTTTCTTTGCGCGGCTTTCTCCAGGAGGTCCCAGCTCGGATTTGAGCTCGGCCTGTGGCTCCGCCTCATCATCCTTGTGAAGCTCTCCGCCGCCTCCGTCTTGCTCTGCGCGCCCCCTGCCCAGAAGCTCGTCCTGGTCGCTCTGGCTGTCCTCTTGGATGAAGGCCTTCGGCGTCAGCATGACCAGAGCGCACCTGTGAGCAACCTCCGAGGCCCGCTGCCAGTCCACCGACTTCTGCACCTTCGCGCAGCGCTGCGCCTCGAAGATCTTCCTGGCGTCCGAGAGCAGCGACTCTGCCGCAGCGTGCTCCACAGACTCCACAGACACCTCAATCTTGATGTCCTCCTCGGGGTTGGAGAAACGAACTCCGCCTGCGCTTCTCCAGGAGCGTGCTCTCCAGGCCAAACCCCAGCATCATCGTTGAGGCAAAGGACAGCTTGAAGAGAAAGCTCGCGGGATGCGCCAATCTCGATGCTCTTGTACAGCCGGACCGAGGTATAAGGTCGATGTCGGTTCGGGGAGGGTGCCCACATGTTCTTCGTGTTTGTTGGGTACTCTTGTGACATTGTGCATCCTGAGGGAGAGTACCCTCGAAGGTTCTTCAGTTTGGGTTGGCGGATGGCCCCATGCCCTTGAAGGAGTTCGTCTGTCCCAGGTCCGACTGTACAGTTGGCCGATCGCGAACCCTGCGTGGGCGCACTGCGGAAGCCCGTAGTCCACGTAGACCTGCAGCTGCTTCGTGCCACCCCGGCCCCGCGCCGCGGCGCCCCCTCTGAGGACGCGCGGCGCGAGCGCCTCGGTTCCCCTCGAGGCAGAGGGGCTCGAGCCAAAACGGCGTGAGCCAAAAATGGCCACGGAGCGGGGGAGGAGGAGGAGGAGGAGGAGGAGGAGGAGGAGGAGGAGGAGGAGGAGGAGGAGGAGGAGGAGGAGGAGGAGGAGGAGGAGGACCAGGAGGAGGACCAGGAGGAGGAGGAGGAGGAGGAGGAGGAGGAGGAGGAGGAGGAGGAGGAGGAGCTGGATGAGGAGGAGAAGAAGGAGGAGGTCCGTAGCCATTTCAGCTCACGGCAAGTTTGGGCTCAAGCGATCGCATGCCCCCGCCGCGGGCGCCGTCTCAGGATGGCATCCGCCGTGCGTGGGGCTAGAGGGAGGCCGCTCGCGGCTGCCGACGCCGCCCTCCTCGTGGAGGCTGCGGTCGGCGCCGCGATTCGCGCCCCGCGCCGCACCGCCGCGGCGGTGGCGCGCGCAGCCATCGCGGCGGCCGCCTCCTGCTTTGGCGGCGCCGTCAGCTGCGCCTGCCGCTGCTGGGGCCGCGGCTGCGGGACGATGAGAGGCGCCACGCGCCGCCTCGGAGGCGAAGCAGGCGCGACGCCGCCGCCTGCGCCTCGCGGTGCGGCGCGCGGCCGAGCGAGGCGATGGCGCTGGTGCGGCCGGCTGTTGCGGCGCCAGCTGGTGCCGGCGGCGCCGGCCTGCACTTCGACGGCGACGACGGCGACTACTCGGTGGCGGCCGCGCGCGAGGGGCTACTGGCTCTGGAGCGCGGGGAGGCCGCTGCCGAGATGGATGTGGTGGACGAGGCGCCTGGCGCGCCGTCTGCCCCGCCTCCCGTCGACGTCGGCCTCGAGGACGACGACGCCTGGGTGGACACTGGTGCACCGCTGAGGCGCAGTTCCAGGCGCGCGAGGGCGCTGCGGGGACCGCGGAGGTGCTGGCCGCAGCTGGAGCGGCGGGTGCGGGCGGTGTCCCGTCGGCCGCGGAGGCTGTTGGGGCTGGCGCTGCTGCGGGCCTCGAGGAGGCGGACAGCCCCTAGCTGCACGCCACGCTGCTCTCAGCGTGGGTACGCACGCCTGGGGCGCGGGTTGCTGCCCTGCCGCCGCGGGCCTCCACCTGGCCGCTGCCCCGCCTCCGAGCCTGGCTCGACGCGGCGGTGGACGCGCCCGGTGCCCGGGCGGGGGGGGGGAGGGAGTGGAAGGGTCGGCGAAAGTGTGGCGTCCCGCGGAGGGATGCCGCCGCCTGCCCCTCCCCCCCTCCCGGCACATGGAGCTCGGTTTCGGCGTGTTCCTCGTGGTGCTCGTCGGCGTGTTGGCCGTCGAGCGCAGCACGGTCGGGGGTTCTGGGCTCCTCAGGTGGAGCTCAGGCCCCCGCGATGTTGGGCGCCTGCGGGCGGCTGGGAGACAACAGGCAATCGGTCCATTGCTGGGGTTGCCCCAAGAATGGTGCCGATGGCTCTGTACCTGAGGGGGGGAATCTCCCAGCGCGAATGGGGAGCGCCGCCCATCTGCCCCTGCAGATGGTAACGCAAGCGGCAGTCAGGCGCCACGCACGTCAGCAGCATCGGTGGCGTAAGTGGCTGCAGGCGCCATCCACGCACGCTGGCGCGCGGTAGCGCAAGTGGTTCGCGGCGCGTCGGACCCACGATGCGCTATGGCTTTGTCGAGGAGGAGGAGGAGGAGGAGGACGAGGAGGAGGAGGAGGATCAGGAGGAGGAGGAGGAGGAGGAGGAGGAGGAGGAGGGGAAGTAGGATGAGGAGAAGGAGTATGTTCGGAGAGATGTATCACAGCTTTTGGCCCCGGCCTTCAGGGCCTGCTTCGTGTCCGGAGGCTGTCAACAATCGATCCATAGTGAAGAAACGGCCATGACGGACCCAGGCAGAGATCAGGTGGCCGATTCTGGGCAGATTTTTGAAGTGGAGGAGGAGGTAGAGGAGTCGGAGGAATGAGGGTAATGTTGAGAAGGAGGGGGAGGATAACGAGGAGGAGGAGGAGAAGGAGGAGGAGGAGGAAGAGGAGGAGGAGGAAGAAGGATTTGGTGTCTCGCATCTCGCGAGCTCCGCTGAGGTCCCCAGCGGACATAAGCGGAGCTTGCGAGCGATGGGGAGAGCCATGAGGATTTGGTGCCTCGTGTATCTCGAGCTGTCGAAACAGGGCGATGGGACCTCGCGGACGATGGGGAAAGCCATGAGGAAAGCGATTGCGAGGAGGAATGAGGATGATGATGATGATGATGATGATGATGATGATGATGATGATGATGATGATGATGATGATGATGATGATGATGATGATGATGATGATGATGATGATGATGATGATGATGATGAGATAGGAGGAGGAGAGGAGGAGGAGGAGGAGGAGGAGGAGGAAGGGAGGAGGAGGAGGAGGAGGAGGAGGAGGAGGAGGAGGACGACGAAAAGACAAGGAGGAGGACGAGGGGAGGAAGAGGATGAAACATGGAAGGATAATGAGGAGGAAGAGGAGGGGGAGGAGGAGGAAGAGGAGAGGGAGAAGGAGGAGGAGGAGGAGGAGGAGGAGGAGGAGAAGGAAGAGGAGGAAAAGGAGGAGGAGCAGGATCCAACACCGAGGATCAACTTTTGGGTGCCCTTCTTGGCCTCCTGGTCGTCGTCCACGATTGGGCTCGCCTCGGAACTTTGGCCGGCGCGCGCCCCAGGAGAGACCCGAGGGCCGATGTTTCGATGGGGAGGGCCCAGGCCTGCCAGTGCCACGACGGAATTGCGACGGCCGTAGGCGGCGCGTAAGGCTTCAGCGAGGGCCGGCGGCTTCTGAGAAGCTGTGACCGTCGGTGCGCGGCTGTTGGGAGGCGACGCCCCTGAGGCGCTCCTCGCGCTTCGGAGGCGTGTCCGGCGCCGATCCAAGACATCGGCCCGGACCTCCGAAAAGTCATGTTCGTGCCACTGTTTGTTCACTCCCTTGCGACGGCCTGCTTGCTTCTCCAGGTGTGTAACGTCTGGAGTCGCGTTCCGGGCCGACAGAGGCTCGGTTCCCCATCCTGGAAATATTCACATCTCCGTCCCGATTCATCGGCGGCAAGCGAGGGAAGCAAGTGAGAAGGCCTCCTCAGAAGGTTCGGAAGTCTCCCAGCATTCAGAGAAGTGTTCTAAGCCTTCCCCGGATACCGTTTTTCGAAGCCTTCCCGGAAGGCGCGAGGGCTTCTGAGAAGTCCATCCGCCTTCTGAGGATGCCCCCTCGCTCGCCGCCAGATTCTGGGATGGCACCCGAGGATGTATGGGACGACCCTTCTGAGGGCGACGACGAGCAGCTTTTCCTGGGGGCTGCGGTGTGCACGGGAACAAGTTGGGACGACACCCACGTCTTATGGCTACCGGTGGCCATACAAAAACACCACACGTTTTTCTGGCTACCGGTGGTCATGATGGAATGTCATACGTTCTGATGGCCTCGGGTAGCCATGAGAACGTGCGACCTGCGTTGTCAGCCGTCGCCGCTGCTAAGAAACAGGAAAGTGTGTACCAGCCTCGTCGAAACCGCATGCGTTGAACATCTCGATCCAAACTGATCAACCGCACGGTTCTCAGCCAGATAACAAGGTAATGTGTAGTTCCGTGCCCGTGCATCGTATCGGTTCAGGCTAGTTTGGCATACGCCTATCTGAGCCACCGACTTACATCTTCAACCCGTTGTAGATTGCCAAATATTTGTCTTCTGGCATGATGTCTCATTCGTTATTTCTCGTGTGGTTGTTTCTCAACGCGCTGAGTGTGGATGGCCGCCGGATGTCGGCGGAGGTTGGGGAAGTTGACTTCCGGCAGAGCGTAGTTGAAGCAATGGGGAATTGTGATGACGGATGCGTCGCCAAGGCGAAAAATATTCTTTACAGTGTCTCCCAGTCTATGCGATACCTTGCGGACTATGAGCCCACTGCGTCCTTCTGGCAACAAGTGTGGACTTGGAAAAAGAACAAGGACATCTTCGGTGGTTCACTGAAAGATATGGAGTTCCTAACAGGCGCCATTGATACTTCCGACGAGATGAGTGGGTTTGTTGAACGGCCGGTGGACGAAATGAAGGAAGAGCTTCCAGCAGGAGCAATGCCGATCATGGTGGAAATTTGGGACCAAGACACGACATCTGGCGAGTTTGTGGGTGAAGCCGGTGCGGCTCTGAAGATCGGCAGGCATTCGTACGACTTGCAGCTGCGTCCGAACCCGAGCCGCAGCATGAAAACGTATGGAATGGCCTCCAAAAGGCCCCTGGGAAGAGTGGCCTTTGACACCACCGTTAGCATCGATCGCAGCGACCCCCCGAAAGCATGCACCTCCGATGCCAGCAAGATTTGCGCCGAAGTGTCGGTGACGGTAACGTGCAAGAGCGCGTCCAACCTTGTGAACACAGACACGTTCAGCCTCACGGATCCGTATTGCAAGGTGCGCGTGAAGCAGGATGAGGACCGCCCCTCCACAAAGGACAAGACGCCGTACGTCAGCAACGACCTTAATCCCACGTGGCATTCAGGAGCAATACATTGCATAAACACAAACTGTGTCAGGTCCGCGCGGGTTTCTTGGGTCGACGTCTGGTTGAACCCTCCTGGCGGCGCCTCCAGCGCCGCCCCTAGCGCGCTGCGCGCGCCCGGGACGGGGCCCAGCGCCGATCCACGAAGTTCGCTGGGACCTCCGGAAGTTTATGTTTACGTAGTGGTTTGTTCCTTCCTGGAAGGGGTCAAACTCTTTCACACACCGCTGGGAGGTAGAGCTCGTTCCGCCCCAAGGCGAGGACGATGGGGAGGGGTCGCCCGTGGCAGAGCTTGTGCCTCTGACGTGGGACCGCATGACGAGCTTAGAGCAAATGTTGTCCAACATGCAGTTCTACATCCAGGCCAAGTTTCTCGGCGGCAAGAGATGCAAGGACATCGACGGATCATCACCCAATACCGCCCAGAAGGTCTGCGGATACCTCGCAGCCCTGTCACAGGACGGCGTGGACGAGGCGGTGGTACGAGAGGTGGCCGCAGACACGGAGGACGAGGAATTGAAGGCTGGCCTGGCGCGGATTAAAGATCAGGTCGGGGCGGGCGGTGCCAGTCTCGTCGAGGTCGAGGCCGAGACATCCGAGGAGGGCCGCTTTCATCCCGCGGCTGTGCATGCTGGCATGCGGGCCGGCCGCAGGCGGCGTCCGCACGGTGGTGGTGGCCGTGGGCGCCCTTCTGGCGGAGAGGGTGGGGGCGGAGGGGGCTGGGGTGTGCTGATCCTGGTCCTGCTCTTCATCGTCCTGCTCCCCGTCGGCCTGTGAGAGCAGCGGCGGGGCCAGGCTCCGAGAGCAGTGTGCTGACATGCCGACCCCAGTGCTCGAGGTTCTGGCCACGGCTTTCGGGCTCATGAGGCGACGAGTGGTTTGCCCAATCAGCAGCGAAGACATAGTGTGCAATCCTCACGGCGTAATCTCATATACACATAAATATGTTGACATATAAATGTTGGAGAGATTCTAGTCGCAGAGCTACATCCGTGCAACACAACGCCATCACGCAGTGAAGCCGCAATACAGGTCAGCATGCATCAGCGTAGCAGCACACAGGAGTCGCACTACATCAACTTCTAGCGACCATCGGGCCATCCTGCCACAGTGCCTGGGTCAGCGACGAGAAAAAGCAACCGGCTCTTCATCCCGATTAGCGATTAGCTATTGTTTTGACGGCTCCAGCCCAGGGCCCAGGGAGGCCCCCCAGAGGCCGAAAATAGTAACAAGGAGTCCGTGATGCTTGTTCGCGACGACGACGGCGGCGGCGACGACGACGACGACGACGACGGCGCGCAGCAGGCGCCGACGACGACGACGCTGGCGGCGGCGGCGACGGTGGCGTCGGCGGTGCCAATGACGCCGATGGTCGCAACGACGACGACAACGGACGACGGCCACGACGGCCGCCGCCGCCGCCGACGACGACGATGACGATGACGACGACGCGTGGGACGAGTGGGCCGGGGGTGCTCTGTAAGAATGGTTTTTTGAAGGCAGATCTGCCTTCAAAAAACCGTTCTTACAGAGTAGACCAGTCCTCCCCAACCAGCGGGCGGGAGGTGGGGGAAGCGTCGGGGCGCCCGGTCGGGGGGCCGCCCCGCAGGAACCGCTCCCTGCGGGCCGTCCTGCTCGACCGGCCGCTGTTCGGCGGCCCGGGCGCGCCGAGCCCCCGCCGCTCCGCGCGCGCGCGCCGCGCATCGCGCACGCATCGCATGCAGCGCGCGCGCCGCGCCCGCTCGCGGCGCCCAGGCCTCCAACGCGTGCACAAAATCAAGGCGACAGCTCCTCCTCCTCCTCCTCCTTCCTCCTCCTCCTCCTCCTCCCTCCCCCTCCTCCTCCTCCTCCTCTCCTCCCTCTACCTCCTCCTCCTCCTCCTAGGCACGCCTCCTCTTTCCTCCTCCTCCTCCTCCTCCTCCTCCTCCTCCTTTAGCACGTCCTCCTCCTCCTCCTCCTCCTCCTCCTCCTCCTCCTCCTCCTCTATCCTCCTCCTCCTCCTCATTCTTCTCTTCTTTTTCTCTCCTTCTCCTCCTCCTCCTCCTCCTCCTCCTCCTCCTCCTCCTCCTCCTCCTCCTCCTCCTCCTCTAGCGCGCTGGTCCCCAGGGCTCCCCCCCCTCGTCGGCGCACGTATCTCAGGCCACGATTTGCGACACTCCCCTTCCTGGACACCCCTTTCTTGGACGCCCTCGATGAGCCAGCCGACGCGCTGCTGCTGCCGGCCCAGGGCCCCCTCCGCGCCGCGCGCCGCGCGCGCGCGCCCCTCGCGCGCGCCCCGCGTTGGCGCGCCCCGCCGCGGGTCCTCGGCGCGATGAGGGCCGCCCTCAGGCCGCTCGTGCGGCGGGGGCGCGGGCCCGGGCCGGGGCTGGGAGGAGGAGTGGGCCTGGCGAGGGCAAGGTGTGGGAGGGAGCGAGGGAAGGAGAAGGGAGGACGAAGCGGGCGACCGAACACATCGCACACCAGTGCGACATCTCAGAAAGCCTGCCTTGGATTCTAGGGACAGCATGGAGGAGGAGGGGAAGGGGGAGAGGGAGGGGGAGCAGCAGGAGGAGGAGGAGGAAGAGGAGAAGGAGGAGGGGGAGGGAAGGGTGGAGAGGGGGAGGGGGAGGAGGAGGAGATGGAGGAGGACGGGGGGGAAGAGGAAGAGAAGGAGGAGGAGGAGGAGGAGGAGAAGGAGGAGGAGGAGGAGGACGACGAGGAGGAGGAGGAGGGGACTGGGGGCGAGGAGGAGGAGAAGGAGGAGGAGGAGAAGGAGGAGGAGGAGGAGGACGGGGGGGAGGACCAGTGGAAACCCAAGACTCATCCTCGGTGTTGGAATTAACCCTCTCTCCACGGTCCCTCTCCACAGGCCCCTGCAAGTGTTCAACTCCACTGAGGGAACTGCCTCGTTGGGAGACAACCGTTTGAAGACCCTGAAGCGTGCCAACACATCATTCTCGGGATTCCAACGCCACGAATCAACATGACTGTTGCGTCTTGACGATCCTGAGTCGCGCCAGAGCACCCTTCACGTAACTGTTGCGCCCTCACAATCCTGGTACGGTGACCATGGGAATACGTGCATCTCGTGCAACGGTGTACGACGAGTGAGCGCGGCGCTGAGGCGAGAGCCACATGTTGAAAAGGAACCACCCTTAATCCGTGAAGCTCTTGCAACTGTTTAGACGGATGCCACATTGTGAAAACGACCTGCCCTCAACCCGTAAAGCTCTTGCGACTACATAATAACGAACGAGCGCGGGGTTAAGGCGAGAACCACCTTTTAAAGCCACTCGCCCTCAATCCGTGACACGGTTACCAATTTCTTAGTTTCAGGGTCAAAACTGATAAGGAAGTCTCAGGCGAAATGCGCGGCCCGCCTGTTCGACAGGCCTCGCAGTGCGACAGGGATGGCTTATGTATCAAGATCAGGCATGGAGTAGGAAGATGAGTCCGAGGAGGAGGAGGACGAGGAGGAGGAGGAGGAGGAGGGGAGAAGAAGACGGGGAGGGGGACAAGGAGAGGCAGGGGGAGAGGGAGGAGGAGGAGGAGGAGGAGGAGGAGGAAGAGAGGAGGAGGAGAACTGGCGGAGGGGGGAGGAAGAGGAGGAGGGGGAGGAGAAGCAGGAGGAGGGAGGAGGAGGAGGAGGAGGAGGAGGAGGAGGAGGGGAGGAGCAGTGGGAGGGGGAAAGGGACCGGGAGGGGGATGAGGAGCAGAAGAAGATGGAAGAGAAGAACGGGGGGGAGGCGGAGGAAGGGGGAGGAGGGAGAGGAGGAGGAGGAGGAGGAGGAGGAGGAGGAGGAGGAGGAGGAGGAGAGGAGGCGGAGGAGGGAGGAGGAGGAGGAGGAGGAGGAGGAGGAGGAGGAGGAAAAGGAGGAGTTCGAGGTGGAGGAAGGAGGAGGAGAGAGGAGGAGGAGGAGGAGGAGGAGGAGGAGGAGGAGGAGGAGGAGGAGGAGGAGGGGAGGAAGAAGCAGGAGGAAGAGGAGAAGGGGGAGGAGGAGGAGGAGGAGGAGGAGGAGGAGGAGGAGGAGGAGGAAGAGGAGGAGGAGGAGGAGGAGCAGGACCATTTGGACCACTTGACCAAGCACAGTGTCGTGCGGGGGGGGAAGGGAGAGGAAGGCAGAACCCCGAACGGGGGTGCTTTGGTGCAGGCGGAGCCCCGCCTCACCGCCACACCACCGCAACCGCTACAGGCCAGTTAGCCCTCCACAGGAGGGCCAACTACCCAGCAGCGACGGACGGTCCTCCGTGCCCTCCCCACGGGCACAACGGCCCTCTCGTACGCTCTCGCCAGGCTTCCGAGGCCGCGCGCATCGAGGGCAGCCTGCAGGGCCTAGGAGAAGGAGGAGGAGGAGGAGGAGGAGGAGGAGGAGGAGAGGAAGAGGATGAGCAGGAGGAGGAGGAAGAGGAGGAGGAGGAGGAGGAGGAGGGGTGGGCGAGGCCGACAGCGGAGTCCGAGGCCAGGGACTGGACGGGGAGGGGGAGGGGCAGCGATCGGCTGCGCGTAAAAAGTGAGGCAATACAGAGGGGGGTCAGCACTAGGGGGCGGCACGAGCTCCTCCTGGAAATCGAGGTTCCAGGATCGAAGGTCGAGGAGGTTAGTGGACGGCTGGGTGCGTCTGGGGACAGGTACCATCCATAAGGACCACATCCCGCTCCTCCTCCTCCTCCTCCTCCTCCTCCTCCTCCTCCTCCTCCTCATCATCATCATCATCATATCATCATCATCATCATCATCATCATCATCATCATCATCATCATCATCATCTTCTCATCCTCCTCATCCTCTCATCCTCCTACTACTCCTCCCCTCCTCCTCCCCCTCCTCCCCATCCTTCACCTCTTCCTCCTCCCCATGCTCCCCCTCCTCCTCTCCTCCTCCTCATCCTCCTCCTCCTCCTCCTCCTCCTCCTCCTCATCCTCGGCTCTGGAGCTTTCAGGTAGCCCCACTTTCTCCAGGAAGCGGCGCTTCCTGGAGGAAGGGGCGACTTCCCCCCCTAAGAGTGACGCCCCTTGGCATTGCCTGGAAGAGCGCCTCTTCGTCAGGGCGGCCGCTGGTGCGCCGCTGTCGGGAGCGCCGGGGCGGCCCCGCCCGGGCACGCAGGGCGCCACTGCCGCATCGCTCGCAGCGATCGGCGAGCCGCGCGACAGATGCCACTCTTGACCTTTTTGTAGGAGGAGGAGGAGGAGGAGGAGGAGGAGGAGGAGGAGGAGGAGGGGGAGGGGGAGGAGGAGAGGGAGGAGGCGGAGGAGGAGGAGGAGGAGGAGAGGGAGGAGGAGGAAGAGGAGAAGGAGGAGGACGAGGAGGAGGAGGAGAAGGAGGAGGAGGAAGGAAGGAAGGAAGGAAGGAAGAAAGGAAGGAAGGAAGGAAGGAAGGACGGAAGGACGGAAGGACGGAAGGACGGAAGGACGGAAGGAAGGAAGGAAGGAAGGAAGGAAGGAAGGAAGGGAGGATTTGCCTGCAGCCGGGGCAGGATCACCGAGCGCGTTCCACTACGCGCAGACGGCCTACTCGCAAGCGTCCGAAGCAAGCATGTCTTCCTCTTCGCGATGGATCGCGGAATTCCCTCGTGGCGGATCCAGGCCGCTTGCGAGTAGCTACTTTGCGAGTCGTGGAACGCGCTTGTCTATGGGAGCAGGGGGGGGGGATGAGAGAATCGAGGGGGGCCAGGGGAGAAGGAGGGCGGGAGGAGGGGGAGCGAGGGCATCCAGGTGTCCGTCCGGGCGCCGGCCGAGGGCTCGATCGGTCGAACTCACAGGTGGCACGTGGGGGAGGCCCTGGCTGGCGTTGGGAGGGAGCTCCCCCTGGTGCTGGCCAGGTCGGCGGGGGGGGGGCCGCAGGGGGCTGGCGGCGCGCACAAGGGGGTGGAGGGAGGGGGAGGGCTTCTAAGAGGGAGACTGCTTCTTAGAAGGCGCCGGCCTTACATCCATAGATGAGGCCCGCGCCTTCTAAGAAGAAGGGGTGCTTACCCCCCTCTGCGCGCCGTCAAGGGGGGCCCCACGCCCTCGCGGTGCCCGCCCTCGCCCTTAGCGAGCACCGCCGACGCCGAGAGGCCGTGCACCGCCGAGAGGCCAGCAGGCACGCCAAAGTTGAGGCCAGCCTGCCAGCAGGTGCCTCCCTGAAGTTTCTGCCGGAGCAAGAACAGCTCCACGAACAGAAACTGTCGGCGCTCCGCGCGGACTCCTTGGATCCGCGCCCCCCCCCCTGGCGGCGCCTCCTGCGCCGCCCCTGGCGCGCTCCGCGCGCCAGGAAAGGGGGGTCCAGCGCAGATCCAAGGAATCCGCGCGGAGCGCCAAAGTTTGTGTTTGTGGCGTTGCCTTCTGAGCGGGCCGAGCTTCCGTCGCCCTCCTGCCCGCGCCGGGCGTTCCTCTTTTCTCCCCCGTGCTCTGCGGCTTAATTCGCACTCGTACGCCCTACCAATGCTCTTCTGCCAGCGCAGTCGCTCTGCCCAGCCGCCGACGTGAAAAGTTTGTGGCGTTGGTTCTGCTTCTGCTCTGATGCCCATGCCAAGAAACACCCTGCTTGCCTCCAGGGTGCCCTGGGCTTCTTCGGGGCTGACGGTTCTTCTATGGGAAGTGTGGCGCTCCCACACCCACACTGAAGGGACGTCCTGGGATCTCAGGGCTGGGCTTCTTGTGGAAGGTTTCTTGCGGACTGGCCTCCACTGCCTGGCGTTGGTTTTGATTCTGTGCTGGTGCCCCAGCGACCCCTGGGGCCCTCGGCAGCCCCGGGCACCTCAGGAGGCCCGGGTCGAGAAAACTCGGCGGCGCCCGTGCTCCCAGACGGCTTGCCGCAAGAGCTCTCTTCTCGCGCGGCGGGGGCCTTGGTCCAGGAAGGGGCCCAGGAGGCGTCAGGTCCTGGAGGGTTCCTTATCCGAGAATCGGGGGCGGCAAAGAGGGGGGCGTTGACTAGGGGGGGGGATATCATGGCGTGGGCCATGGTATCTCCTCAGATTTCATGGCGCCTCTTCTTATGTCATTGCGCCCCTGGTCCTCCCCCTGGGCCGCGCATGCCGCTGGCCATGATTTGCGCCCCCCCTCTTGGCCGCCCCCAATCCACGATGGGAGTTCCACCGGCTTCCAGCCCCTGGATTCCTTCTCCAAGGGTTCTTTGCCCAGTGCCCCCCACCGCAGATCCCTTGCGGCACGATCTCTTACCGTACGTGACTACCGTATGTTTTGCTCACGCTTGTGCTGTCGGTGTGTGGCGCCTCCGCCTCCCGGGAGGCGCCCAGGGAGCCTCCGGGGGGGCTTCGGGGCATGTGCCGAGGCCTCCCTCTCTCTGCGGGCCCCTGGGGGTCCCGCTCGGGGCGGGCGAAAGTCAAAAGCGAGCTTCCACCCCCGATCCACCAGCTGCCCCCGAAAAAGCAGGCCGCCCAGAAATGAGGGGCGAGTCTGAGATGCACCTCCATGGGACCATTCGGACGCACCCCAATCCAAGAGGGGCGCCCCCCATCGAATGTCCCAGAGTTGAGCCCAACATTGCTCGTCCAGTCGAAGCCTCGAGGACGGAGGTCGCCATAGCCCTCGTTAGAAAGGCCCGACTAGCGTTCACAGGCTTTCTGGAAACTCTGAAGTCCTAGAGATAAGTCGCGTAACCTAATCGGCCGCCTCGCTCTTCCTTCCCTCCAATCCTGGGTAGTTAGACCCCTTCACCCGAGTCACCGTCGTGCTCGCTCGGCCTGTGAGCCTAGCAGCTCCGTGCAAGCATTCGGAGGGGCGAGGAAAGCACGCCTCACGTGGAGGACATGGGCTCTGACCCCCATCCTGTGTCCTGCATCCTCGACAACAGGGACATCAGACGCTCGTCTGTCGCCGAGGGCTCGAGGAGCTTGATTTCTGCACCTGGTTGCGTTTGTGGGGCCCTCTCTGTTGTTGAGCCAGCGATGACGCAATGACCAGATCGGACGACAAGGAGGGATGGGGAAAGGGGGTGGGCGCGACATGTGCTGCATGCAGCCGTCGCCAATCAAAATTCTCAATACATGGCTGGCTGGCTGCCTCCAGCGCCGGGAGGCGCCGTGAAAACCAGCTGCATGCAGCTAATTCGCTAACCCCCCATTTGGGAGTCGGAAGAAAACGGGGTCGTCTGCGCCGCCATTCGCGCGCAAGCTGCTCGCGTGAGATCGTGCGTAAGCGTTCTCGTCTCCAATGTGGGGTGCCGCGCTGGCTGCCCGCACAAGCCACAGCGCAAGGTCGCTACGTCATCTCGCGAAGGACCCTTTGTTCCGTCCCTCGTTTCCCCCCCCTTTCCTTCGCCCTCTGAAGGCCGGAGGGCTTCTGAGAAGCCCGCCCGCCTTCTGAGAAGGCTTTCTCCTTCTCACTCCGCCCCCCCCCTCGCTCGCCGCCGACATTTGCCCCCCCCCCCCCCCCCCCACACCCCACCCCACCCCTCCTTTCCCCCTCCTTCTTCCCCCCCCTTCTCCTCCCGCTCCCTGCCGTCAAACCAAGGCTTTTAGTGCCCTGCCATCTCGGCCAAGAGGTGCAGCCTGGGCGCGGGGAAACCACAGTGGCACCTCCTGGTCTGAGGTGAACCGCCGTTGACGGTCACGGAGGCGGGGCCCGCGGCTTCCCGCCTGCAACCTCTTGGTTGCAGTGCCCTTTGCCGCGGGCATATTGTTGCCGTGCTTGTGGGAGCGCGGGCGCTGGGCAACGCTCCGTGTATTGTCCCTTTGGCGCCCATCCCGAACCCCCTTGCGCCAGTGTGGCGCGGGGTGTAGGGCGGTCCTTGGTTTGCTTTTCTTTTTTTTGATTTCCTCCCTAAGGCACAGTTAGCCAGAGAAATGAAGCCGGAGGTCAGGGCCCAGCTTGTGTCCGTGATCCCCCCTTTTTGCACGTGTGCCCTTGGTGTTGGCCGTTGGCCACGATGGCCGTTGGCCAGGGCACGTTGGCCCGCGCTTTCGTTGAGCGCCGCGGTTTTGTTTTGCTTTTGGGCCTGCCAACACCCTCCCGCCCCCCACCCGCCCCTGCCCCCCCCACCCCCCGTCTCCCCCCCTTCCTCCGTCCGCCTCACTTCGCCCAGCAAGGGCCGGGGTGGGCAAGGGCTTCCCCGGGCCTCCGACAGCGGCCTGAAGAAAACACCTCCCAGGGCAAACGCATGGCCCTCATCGAGACTACAAGGGAGCATTCTGATAGCACAATGAGCACGCAGCCTAACGTAGGTCCCCGTATCTGCACGAGGGGGACACACTGAAGCCTGGGCGATTCGGTTTGGCGGTTCGGTTCGAGGCACCTCCTGACAAGACCCTTTGTATCCCTCGTGTTTTGGGCCTCTTGGCTTGGGTCCGCTGTCGAAGGGTCATGGGTTCTTCAACTGCTGATCGAAGCCACCTGCAGCAATTGGGGCGCCAGCTTGCACCACCAAGCGTCCTTCACCGAGCGCGTTCCGCGACTCGCAGAGTGCCTGCTCGCAGGCGTCCGAGAAAAAAACGCGTGCCCCGATGTAGTGGATCGTAGATCTCCCGCGGCGGATCCGGGTCAATTGCGAGCAGGTGCTTTGCGAGGAGTTGGAACGCGCTGGTCTAGTCCTGAGCGAGTGGTGGTGTGACAGGGCACAGAAGGCCGCGAAGCAGCTGAGCCTTTCCTCCCAAGACGTCGGAGGTCTCGCGAGGAGGGACTTCCTGGACGGCGAGCCGGACAAACTGCCGCGCCCCGCGACGCCGACGACGACGACGAGGGCCGACGACGGCGACGCGACGGCGACGTCGACGACGCCGGCGCCCACTGCCCGAGAGGTGGGTCTTCCTGGACGGCGAGTCGGACGCCGAGGAGGCCGAGAGCCCCGAGCAGGGCGCGGAGGAGGCGCGCGGGCCCGCGGGGGCCTCGGGGCGAGCCCGGCCCCCAGGGGGGGGGGAGCGGCGGCCGCCCCCGCTCCAGCCCGACTTCCATTCTCTCGGGGCCAGGGCGGCTGCAGGTTTGTCGCCGCTCTCGCCCAGCTCGGCGGCGCTGGCCCCGGTTCCAGTCCGACTTCAATTCTGGGGCCAGTGCGGGGTCGAGCCTCGGGGATCGAGCGTGGCGGGGCGGACGACGACGACGGTTTCCACGACGTCGTCGTCGTCGTCGTCGTCGTCGTCGTCGTCGTCGTCGTCGTCGTTTTCGGCTGCCTGGGCGCCTCTGCAGGCTCGCGGCGCCGCGGCTGGGCGCAGCTCGGGAGAGGTGGCCAGGAGGGGCCCCGGGAGAGGTCCGTGGACGAGTTTTGACGGATTGGGGTCGGGGGGCGCGCGAGGGGGGGAGGGTTGGACGGGGGTAGGACGAGGAAAAATCCGTACCAGGGCGTTCCGGAACACTCCCAGAGCGTTCTGGAACGCTCTGAGAAGGCTGCGGCGCCCGAGACATCCTGCAGATCCGCAGGATCTCAGAGATGCGATGCGTCCTCACCCGAGTTTATCTTCGTCCTGGCTTCGTCGTTTTATTTGGAGGAGGCGGTGTCCGCCGTGTCCGCCAAGGCATGGGGGCGTCTTACAATCTTCAAGGCGTTACAGGCTTCTTGGGAGCCTTCAAGCCCTTCTCAGGAGGCCCTCTGCCCTCGAAGGCGCCCACCCGCCCTCTCAGAAGACCAGCTCCATCGCGCCACCCCCTTGCCTGCGCGCCGCCACGTCCGGCCTCGTGGCGTTGTCAGTCGCCTCGGGAGCAGTCACGTGGTGGGCGTGTGCGGGTGGGCCTTGATGCGTCCGCCGCGTGGTCGTCGTCGGCGCAAGCATCAAACCACAAGAGCGGCGCCCACCCCCGGGGCGGTGCTTGGCGACGGCTCGGGCCAGGTTTGATGGGCGGCGCGGGCATGCGTGGAGGGCAGTGACGCGGCACGTGTCGCGCAGCGACTGCCGAAGGCCAGGCCGGCGCCCCGCCGAAGGCCAGGCCGGCGGCGCGGCCGGGTGGCCGCCCGCCGGCAGCGTGGCCGGGGCGGGCTGGCCAGCCGCAGCCGGAGGCAAGAGCGCCCCCGCAGCGAGCGCCACCGGGGGCTCCGACGCCGACGACGGAGCGGGCGGGAGCTCGGGCCCCGACGACTCCCAAGAGGGCGCAGCTGACAGCAGCAGCGGCGACTCCTCGGGAGAGGGAGGCTGGCGGCAGCCCCACCGCCGGGCGTTGGCGCGAGCGCGTGCGCAGCCCCAGCGCGCTCGCACCGGCGAGGCCGGAGCGCTCGGCGCCTTCGGCACGGGAGGCTACTGGGCACCGCTCGGGCTTGCGTCGGCACCGCAAGCGCCGGGGCAGGAGCGGCTCCGGCCACCGCCGCGCCGTGAGCCGCACGCGCAGCCGGAGCCGCAGGCGGCGCCGCCGGCCGCGCAGCCCGGCCGCGCCGCGACGCCCGCGCAGCGGCCGCCGCAGGCGAGGCTCCAGGGCGCCCGAAGCGGCGAGCGCGCCGGCGAGCGGCGACGGCCCGCTGGCGCCCGCGGCGGCGAGCGCGGCGAGCGCGGCGGCGAGCCCGCCAGCGCCGGAGGTAGCGCCCGAGGAGGCGGGACCGGCGGGGCCGGCAGCGGCGACCCTGGGGGGGGTCGGCGCCACCCCCCCCACGGGGAGCCAGCGCGCGAGCCGCGGCGGCCGGGGCAGGGGCCGGGACCACCGCCCTCGCAGCGCCGGCTCGAGCGACAGCGCCAGCTCGAGCAGCTCGAGCTCGGGCAGCAGCGGGAGCGGCAGCACGGCGCGACGAGCGGCTCCGAGAGCGCCGGCTCCGCCAGAAGCAGGCGGCGACGGAGGGGGCGCCGAAGCGGCCGCCCCCGCACCCACTCGGCCTGGTGGAGCGACCCCGGGCCCGGGTCCCCTGCCTGCGGCAGCGGCGGCCGCCGTGGCGGAGATCCTCAGGGCGCACGGCTGGAGTTTCCAGACCCCGGAGGTCGCGGCGGGCGTCCTCGGGGAGGCAAAGAAGGCGGGCCTCCTCCTGCCCCAGGGGGGGGCCTAGGCGCCCGCGCCGGCCCTGCGGGAGGGGCGCTGGGCACTGGCCCCGCGGGCGGCGGGGCGTCGGAGACCGGCCCCGCAGGCGGGGCGACGGAAAACGGCAGCACCGGCCTCGCCAGAGGAGCTACGGGCGCCGGCCCCCTGGGAGGCGGGGCGACAGGCACCGGCCCCTCGGGCGGCGGGGCGACGGAGACCGGCCCCGCAGGAGGGGCGACGGTAAGCGGCAGCACCGGCCTCGCCAGAGGAGCGACAGGCGCCAGCCCCCTAGGAAGGGGGGCGACGGGGACCGGCTCCGGCGGGGCGACGGAGCGCGGGGACGTCTTGCTCGTGCCGCTCGATGCCCTCGAACACGACATCGAGGCGGAGTACGAGGGCGACTGGGCGCCCGCGCACCCCACCGCAGGCGGCGCTGCCCTGGCGGCTGGCAGCGCGGCGCCCCCGCCTGCGTCCACTCCGCGGGGCGCCACGGCCGGCGGCCTAGCGGTGGAGACGCCGCCGCGGGCGCGGCCGCGCATCCCCCGGCGCGCGCCGTGGGCGGACGCGGCCGAGGAGGGCCCCGGCCAGGAGGCGGGCTGGCTCCCGGCCCCCGGCGGGCCAAAGCAGCCGGCCCCGGCGCCGGGGGCCGCGGCGCTCAGCCAGCTGGCGGCCGCACTGCGGGCCGTCACAGGCGAGGGCGCCAGCGCGGCGCTCGAGGCGGCGCTGCTGCTGGAGGCGGCGGCGGCGGGCGACCCCACCGCCCACGGGCCCATCCTCGAGGTGGGCCGGGCCCTGCTGGGGGCCCTCGCGGTGCCGGCCGGCGCGGGCGCGCCGCCGCCCGGGGCCGGGCGCTGAGCGCTGCGCTCGCGCTGCAGGCGACTCGCTCCGGCTGAGGCGCCGCCGCGCTGCCGGCTGAGGGCTGCGCGGGCCCCAGCGGGCGGCTGCCCGCGCGCGCGCGGGGGGCGCGCGCGCGCCGGCCCCCTCCCCCCCCTCCCCCCCCCTCCCGCCCCCCCGCGCCCTCCGTCGTCCTCGTCTGTCGTCCGTCGCTCGTCTGTCGGTCGTGTCGTCCTCCGCTCTTTGCCACTGGGCTCCTCTCGCGTTGGTAAAAAAAAAAAAAAAAAAAAAAAAAAAAATAAAAAAAGTGTCGCGCAGCGACTGCGGCGGGCAGGCGGGGGAGGACGATGAGGACCCAGGCGTCCGCCGTCCAGACAAAAAACACAGCTGTGTTTGTCCGTCGCGTTCGGCCTCCTGGAGCCTTCAATTGGCCCTGGGACCGTTTTCGCTTATGTTCACATCTTCCACTGAGGTTGTTCCGTGGTGCGGTTGTTGGCGATGCCACCGCTAAAGTACACAGTGCAAGGAAGATGCCTTCACTGGCGAGCGATCTTTCGCCAGCCCCTTTCCCAAATCTCGACAGCGCACCGAGGGCACTGAATAAGTTCACCAAAGGCGCCTCCACCAAGATAAAGATCACCAATGTAAGTGTTCCTCATCCTGGTCCGTTTTGGGCGGCACTGTCACCAAATATTGGCATGCGGCGGTGAAGAATTTGACAGCAAAACGACTCAGGACGAAAAGCTGACCTCAGGGGAAAGGCCGGGGCTTCAGGGGACCCCGTCTCAAAAGACGGAGGGGGCGAGGAGGGCATCTCTGGGGGAGACGGCCAGCAGATTGCGGGAGCAGGGCCCGGGCAGAGGAGGGCGCCCCCCCGATCCTCCCGAGATTTGCTGACCATTGACGCTGTGGCCGGACTTGTGCGTTGGTTCATATGGTCCATTTCTCAAAAAGCTTGTCTGGTTCGGGTTCGTTATGCTGTCGGACCGAGGCAAAAGATCGAGGTCGGTTCGGGGAGGGTACCCAACATGTTTTTCGTGCTTGTTGGAAGTTCTTGTGCGCCCTGGGGAGGGTACCCTAGGTTTTTCTGTGCGTTTGGGTCGGCGGAGGGTCTCGTATTCTCGAAGGATATTATCCTGTCCGAGCTTCGACTGTATTGTGTTGCCCCCGAAACCGGTGGCCCACTGTGGCCCCCCCCCCGCACCACGAACTGTGCAACGCTGCCGCAGGGGTGTCATCTGAAGAAGAGGGCCCCAGACACGCGAGGCCTCGAGTCTTGAAATACGGGGTCCCCAGAAGTCCCGACTCTGTCCCCCAGGGACGGTTCTTCATCCCGAGTCGTTTTGATGACGGTCTCGGGGCCCGGCGAGGGCCCCCAGAGGCCGAAAAGTGCCTGAAGTTCCCCGGCGCGCTGATTCGGCACGTGTTGGCCCGCGCTTGGGCGAGAAGCATCGCGCGGGACCCACGGCTCTCAACTGCGGCGTGGCACCGCATGCCAACGCGCCACGCATTGCATGCTTGCATGTCGGGGCGGCCGAGCGCCGAGCGCGCGCCGCGCCTCCCCCGGGGGCGGTGAGCTGCCGGGAGGCACACGGCCCGGGCGCGCCGCCCAGAGCGATCTGCGATGGATAACGAGGCCGCGGTCTTCCCCAAGGTTTAGCGATGCACGCGGTGTCGGGAGCCAACGCCCGGCTCGTCAGGACACGGCCGCCGCATGGCGTCCCAGACAGGAGCTGGCCTTTCGAGGGGTCGAGACACCGCGTGCGCTTCCTCGGCGGCGGGAGGCGGGCACAGACTGGCAGAAGTTAAGGGAAGGCGTCTTCTGGCGGAAGTGAGCTGAGGAAGCCCGCGGAAGTAAAACGAATGTGTCCCCAATCGATGACAGCATGCTTGGAACCACAGTTTTGAATCAACACGGCGTGGCAGGCTTTGGTTTGGTGAGAGTGGGGCAGGCTTATACAACTTTATGTATACAGTCGAAATCGATAGTAGAGATGGGTGACCTTCCCAAAGGTACCCGTGTGTTCTTGCCTTTTCGTTCCATCCTTTACCACTTTCGATGGCGAGCCCCGCTAGAAGAGCCTCGGCATGGGCGTCCGAGGCCCTTCCATCCTTACCGCGCATCCTGACTATCAGTTTTGACTCTGCTGCATGTCTTTCTAGCGTTCGGTCCTCTTGTGGTCACATTCGCTGGCCCTCATCATGTGTAACCCGCGAGCGGCCCCTTCATGTCCCACACCTGAGTCCAGCCAGTCGTGCTGGCTCCCCAGCACAACGGAAGAGAAGGTCACAGGCCGCCCAAGCAGGCCAGTTCCAGAGGCCGGCCTCCGTCTCCAAGGCGTCGAAGAAGTCGACATCTCCTCTTCAGCGGAAGGCAGGCGGAAGTCAAGCAGGGACGGGTCAGAAGACGCCGCGTCCCTGGGGCCCCGATGCGTCGGCGGTGCTGCGTGGCACGGGATCCTGATCTGAATCCTGACGCATCGCCGATGCACCAGCGATGCGTCGGCGACCTGGTGGGATCCTCGAATTCAGTGATTCTCGCCCCGTTTGGGCGGCCTTCATGGGGGGTATGGGGAGGCTGGCCACCCCGTCCTCTCTGAAGAAGCGACCCCGCTCGTGCGATGGTACCTGGCTGCATCGCCATGTCATGGACCCACAGACGTATTGAGCCCTCTGGCCACGCTGCTGAAGGGGGAGGGGGAAGAGGAGGAAAAGGAGGACAACGATGATGGGTAGACGTCGGGCCAAAGGTCAAGCGAGTCAGCGGACCCCGTTCAGTGCCGCCTCACCTCCCAGAACACAACAAGCAAACGTGGCACAAACTGGCACTGGGATGGGAACGCGCTCTCACCTTGCGACGGGAAGAAGCTCGCGCGCGGCCCCGCTCCCGACGACCTGGCTACGAAAAAGCGATGCGCGCCGCGCCGAGGCGGGAGCGGAACTTCAGGAAACCCTTGGGCGGCGCTGCGGCGGGAGCACACTTCAGTCTTATCTCGGGCGGCCAGATTCCCGCTGATCGCGGCGAAGACGAAGCCTGCGCCGCGCCGGAGCAGCCCTGCCACTTTGACGCGCAAGCTGCGCGACGCTCGGGCGAGGGCAGCATGTCGCCCGCTCTCGCGTTGGCCCGCATCCGCTGCCTCCTTCATTCGATTCGGCGAGCTGAGCGTGCGCGGCGCCCGCGCGGCAGCGCTATGTCCAAGCGAGATGTCATGTGCACGGAACTCGGGCGAGGGCGACGAGTCGTCCTGCCGCGCGGTACCCCAAACTTTCTGGCGAAGCACGAATCTGCGCTGCGCCGAGGCGGGAGCACCTCTCTCCAGCAAGCACTGTGCGGCGCCGAGGCGAGATTGACATGTTCTCCCGCTTTCGATCGACGAGACGTGAGAGTGACCTTTCGCCGGAGTGGCCTTCGGTGCGGGCCCTATGGGGCCCCCCGATCGCCGAACGCGATGCGGTAGTGGCGCTTTGCGCGCTCGTGTTTGGTCCCCCCGCGGCCCTCAAAAGAGCCGCTCACCAAGGTCGCTCTTGCCTGGGGTCACTCTTGCGTGTAGTCACCGTCGATCTCTAGTGGACGAGTCGGCGTGCGAAGAGCGGGCGCGGCGCCCAGGCGCCGAGGCGAGAGCGACACTTCGCCCTCCGGCGTGAGACGCGCGTCCCGCCCCACTCCTGCCACGCGTGTCTGCGCAGCGGACGACAGAACGTCCACGTTGAGAGGAGCAACGTCGACGTTGCATTGTTCTCAAACGGGTTAGGATGAGGCGTACTGGATTGGACGGCGATCGGTCCGTGGGGCGCCCTAGCGGGAGCATATACGAACAAATATTAAGATTGTGACGGATGATGGTGA